AAGCAAGACGTTTATATTTTACCTGACATGGCAGTTTTCTGGAATCTATCGACTTTAAAATATCGAACGGCAACAACACTAGCGGATTTATAGATACGTTTGTGGGCACCCTCAGCACAAAATAGAGAAACGGCGCGCGAGACGCCTTTACAGATGACTCACTCAGTACTAGCGACGATTTTGACGCTTACTAACTTTAACTGGAAAAAACTGGAATGAATCTCAGAGGAGCTCAAGGTACCTTAGAAGATGGTTGCCACGAACGTCATATTTCTTGGATTAAAATTGGCTCAGAATCATTATGACGTTCTTGTATCAGATTTTGCTGTTTTGAAATTCTTTTAGTTTAAGATTTTTGACAGTAGCAACCCTGGCTATGTGACAGTGACAACCGCGAAAATCCTAAAGTCGAGTGAGCCTTCTGTAAACTCCCTATTTCGTGTCCTCACTCTAGCGATGTCAGCCCAAGCGTCTGGCTCTCACCTTGTTATAGTGCGCGTGCGCGCCGACCGGCCGATGCGCCGTCCCGTTGTCCGCCATGTACGTCTTTACCTGGTGCGTGTCGGTCGCTATCGTGGAAATAGCCGACGCGGAGTGAGGCGGCATGTCCCTCCGTTTCTTTCCCCCCTTGTAGATGTACTTCGACGGCCGCACTAAGCTGTTGACGCACGAATGAGGCTTTACAGTTTGGTTAGCTTATAGTGGCGTTCGGGCCTCGGACAATTTGGTTGGTGCGGCCGAAACGTGCTAGAATCCTAACTATGAAAAAAATATTGTGGGTACTACCCGTTTCACAAAAGAAAGGGAATATAAATGGCGGCCGGAGGTCATGCTTTCTCACTTGCACTAAGGCTCTTACATACACCAGGCGTCCATGCTTTCTCCCTCCGGAATATGGAACCGCCGCCATTTATATTCTCTCTTATTTTGTGAAACGGGTTATAGCAGGGAGATATACATTTTCCTAGTAACATTATGTCGACTCTTCTTGTATATAAAGATACATAATTTACCAAGTAAAAAAATCTAGACACACGGCAGTGTGTCCGCCAAGTTCGAGCAAAAAAAGCGACACACCGGCCGTGGGTTATATTACACGAACCATTTCGGGCCAAGTTCGACCCACCTATAACTCAAAATCTATTTTATCTACGCATATGAAATTTCTAGTATCTGTCGAGATCTACTTACTTATCTAAAATACAAAATTTCATTAATGTACCTATTGTAGGTCTTGAGATATTGACGTCAGAAAATCGCTATTTTTACTATACACTCACTGACTGACTGACTGACTGACTGACTGACTGACTGACTCACTCATCAAAAACCTAGACCACTTCCAATGGTCGTATTGACTTGAAATTTGGCATGGAGGTAGGTCTTTAGGTCAAGGTAAAGGAAAAAATCTGAAATTGGCCAAGTGTGAGTCGGTTTTAAAAATAATGAAGGTGTAAATTCATACCCCTAAGGAACTAAAACAAAAAATTTATCTATATCTTCCAATCGTCGTACCGAAATATAAAACTCGTTACGAAGGTTTGTATTTAGTCAAAGTAAAGTATAAATGAGATATTTCCTTACCTAACTATGATTAATCATAAGAAAAAAAGAAAATAAACCTTACAAAATAAATGAAATCCCACCCAAAACATAAATGTGAAAGGCTGCCAAGTTCGATAATATTGGAATGCTTCGCCTATAAAAGAAGTGAGATCTAAATAAGTACCAAGTTCCATACACAGACCTCAGTTAAAAATAGTTACAGGAATGCACACTTGATTTTTCGCAGTTTGGAAATAAGAATCTACTTTCCAAACTGCGGAAAATCAAGTGTGCATTCCTGTAACTATTTTTAACTGAGGTCTGTGTATGGAACTTGGTACCTATTTAGATCTCACTTCTTTTATAGGCGAAGCATTCCAATATTATCGAACTTGGCAGCCTTTCACATTTATGTTTTGGGTGGGATACATAATTTACTAGGTAACATCATCTTGTCTCAACTGAGGGGTGTGGTAGATTCATCCCAATATTTGGTCAGTAACTATCTATAATTACATTGATTCACCCAAATGCAACATAGCAGTGTAATGTTATCTGATTACTAAATTAGTCATAAATAACATTTGCACAAGTTGAAACAACTGATTATCTATCTACATCTACAAGGTCACCACGGTTATCTATCATTATTACACTTTCGTTGTCATACATCAATCATATTAATACAATGTAATCACTACTAGGAGTGTAAGTAATAAGATAACATATTACTCGAATTCAAACTAACCTAACTAGTAAATTTTTACGACGGTAGACGCTCTGCCTAGCCCACAAAGGATAAAGGCGTGATTTATGTATGTATGTAACTAGTTCCCCGATAATAAGTTACTTGATTATTCCATCCAAACCACCATTGAATAAAAATTTGCTTACATTTTGGTTCAAAGATTTCTGTTTTAAATAAATATAATGTCACCTAGATAGAGAACAAAACTCAAACCCGACTTACCTAGGATACTGCGGTCCGAACTGGGCATAACAGCAGTTATGCCAGCACCCCTTCGAGAAGGGATTGTAACCCCCTGTGAACTTTCCTGTCACCTGAAATGGAAGATAAAAATGTTACGGTTATTAACTACCTGGACTGTCTGAAGTGCTATTGCAGAACTAAGTTAGGATGGCATAACTTAATAAAATCCACGAAGAGATCGAATTTCTTCATTAGATTGAAAAATAAAATAAAAGCCAAACAACCAGCTGATCAATTAAGGGACCCAAGTAAAGCTTTCATCCATATTAAGAAATAACTTATGGCTTGAGTTAAGATGGTCGCCTACTAGCATTTAAGGGCAGAACACACCGCCTCCGCATGTGTGACGTGCACGTCATCACGCGCGTAACTATAACGTTGTAATGCATGAGATCGTATGAGACACGGCACACCACGGTACGCGCGTGATGACGCGCACGCATACGGAGGCGGTGTGTTCTGCCCTTTATTGACAGAAAAGTAGAATATGTGTAGGACTGCATATTATTATTTTATCACATGATTCTATCTCATATTTACCTGTTCGTTGGTGGTCCTCCCCCGGGAGACCAGCACCATATGGAACCCCGTCAGACCGAAGATTGGGATCGCTAACAACGCGATAATACCCATTATCACCATACTGTTACGAGTTAAGGAATGACAAAATTGTACAATCATTTATTTAATATAGATATAATTCATGTCAAAAATAAAATTCAATACAAATTAAAAATAAACTTAACTAAAAACACCGCCCCAGGACAACCCCGGCCTAAAGTTGCCCATTACACTACTGGCATTACCACGCTGTATTGCAATTGTACATGGAAGAAAACATCCTGCAACTAAGTTTCATAGCAAACATTAAGTCTAAAAAAATACCGTGTGATGGCAGCTTAGAATAAGTCGTGTCACCCCATTTCTTTACCGTGGATGTCGTAAGAAGCGACTACGGGATTAGAGAGTTGATGTGTGTTGCAATTTTAGGTGAATGATTCTCAAACTTTTGTCAGACGTGGTGTAAATGGGCGTTTTTTACAGCCGTTTACGCTCTGCCTACCCCGCAAGGGATATTGGCATAATATACGTATGTAAATAAAACAATCACATTTACAAATGAGAGCTGCGGTTATTTCGAATATTGACTGAAAAACTGATACTGACACCAGGGTTCATCGGGTCGTTGGACGACTCGGTGTCCCACTTGAAAAGAAGGAGATCGAATATTGGTTTCTTAAAAAAGAAATTTAAAAATAATTCTCTCATCGCATACATACACATCATCATCTTCCTGCCCTTATCCCAATTACTTAGGGTCGGCGCAACATGCTTTGCACACACTAAATCGTGTTGCAAAGGATTTGGCTTAATTTTACGAGCGGCCGCCTACCAGACGTCAACCCTCCTTGGGAATGCTTTTGTGGTGGATGAACCGCCACCATACGGTTGGCCCTGGCCGTTTGGGTCGGGTTTATCCCTCAGTAGCCTCCCACGGGAAGAGAGGGGGTGGTGCTATTCTAATCTGCCGGCACCACACGGCATACATACACATATCACGCTTTTATCTCTTGCGGGGCAAACACAAGTTTCTATAGATATTTAAAAAAAAAGGATACGAAACAATAGGCTCGACTTGCGTCAAAGTCTTGTTGTTGTTCATGATGAAGTAGAGGCTCAGCCCGAATATGCTCAGCATGTGGATGGACAGGCTGATGAGGAAGAAGAAGAAGAACCTGTAGTTCCGCCTGCCTATGCAGTTGTTCACCCACGGACAGTGGTGGTCGAACGTCTGGAAAAAACGTAAAACAATTTAAGAGATGCAACGAGTCGGCGACTTCGGTTGAATAGTCGATAAGTCGGCTATAATAACTATACAGGGTGTTAGGGACGGTGTAACGAAAACTTTGCAGGCGTGCTCAGACCATGAAACTGAACAACTTTTACTATGGAGCCAATGGTGGGAAATGAAAAAAAAATTCCGATCTCCCATACAAAGTCAGTCAGCTGATCGTGAATTTAGTATGGGAGGTCGGAAATTTTTTTTCGTTACCCACCATTGGCTCCATAGCGAAAGTTGTTCAGTTTGATGGTCTGATCATGCCTGCAAAGTTTTCGTTACACCGTCCCTAACACCCCGTATAGGGTGAAATTTTACTAGTGACCGATAGCGAAAACTCAGAACCGGCTAGTGATAAGGAACAACTTTCCCCAAGGAACATAGGTCGAAATACGAAAAAAAAGTTTGGGCCTCCCATAGTAACTGAAATCAGCTGATCGGTAAGTTTGTATGGGAGGCCCAATTTTTTTTCATATTTCGCCCTATGTTCCTTGGGGAAAGTTGTTCCTTATCTAGCTGGTTCTGAGTTTTCGCTATCGGTCACTAGTAAAATTTCACACTATATTGAATAACAAAAATATATGAACGAAGCAAGTGGTTTACAATTTCGCCGCCTGGGTAAGAGCCACCGTAGTGTAGCGGTCAAACACATCTGACCCAGCTTGTCAGAAGACGTGGGTTCGAATCCCATCTGTGGCGTGAATTTTATCCACTTGTTTCGTTTGTATTTACCTTGTAACCAAAACGTTGATATGGAATAAAAATAGTAATAAAAATGTTTGAAATGAAACCACAAAATGACAAAAGTAGGTCATTTTCATATTCGGCGACAAGTCGGTCGATGATTACTGATTAGTCTGCTGATTCTAAATCGATAGGTGACTACTCGTCCAAAACAATAGTCCTTGCAAGTCTAGTGGCGAAGGATCCATATATGCCGATTCCTAACATAACATCAATCTATTTTCATTCAGTACATTTTTCTTGCTCCGGACTACCTCCGTTGAAATGTCACCCTTGGTCACTGAAGTCTAATAATTAATTAGTTACTAATGTCTCTGGGTTGGTTTCTGCGCGAATAGAAAAAAAACAGCAGCCCTGCTGGTGATTCGTATGCAATCCATTTCATGTCCTAACTGATTAAAAGTTCTCATAGATACAAATAGCATAACCAAATACCTAGCATAAATTTTAAAACCATGGGGATTATAGGTGGTTGCACATCTAGCCGTACAGCCGTACCGCACGCGCCATACGCGCCGAATAATGCTGATGGGGTCGCAGCCAGTGGACCTATACGCAGCCAGGATATTAATTTGTTGTTATGATAGAAGCTATCTCGGTAACAATCTACAATGCAATCTACCAAAATACGTTAATATTTTATTTTGACCTATTTAATAAGCTCCTTTAGCTTACTAAATAGCTTAAAGCCTTAAAATCTGCCAACATATGTAAACTTAGCTTTTAAATCTGCTAAAGTTCTACTATTAAAAAAAATAAAACTGCTAAATATGGTCACACTAACCGCAGCGACCGCATGGTGCTGATGACGTCATCAGAGTCGGCTAGGGAATTCGTCAAAATGCGGTTGCGGTGCGGCTGTGCTGACAGATGTGCAAAGTTCCATAGAACTTCATACAAACAATTCAAAATGCGGCGCGTGCGGTGCGGCTGTACTGACAAATTTGCGTTCAGCTTATTTTATTATTTAAAAGCGAGTACCTACCTCTATACAATGATTGCACACGGAACAGTGCGAGCATCGCGGCGGTCGGTAGAACTTGCACGTGACGCACCATTTCATGCGTACGGTGATGCCGTTTATTTCAACGCTGCGGTACAGCGGCGCCCTGAAATCGTCCTCACGATCCTCGTCAGGTGGCGCTGGGGACAAGGATTATTATGTAGTCTATTAAATCAATTTCTAATCACTAAATTTTGTCCTTAACCCTTCGTCAGGTAACATCTTACGACATGTAAAAGAACGAATTATCTTTTCGGGGCCTACGCTGCGGCAGGCAGACCGTACACGCGTACCGTTTCGCGTGCGAAGTTCACTTTACTCCAAGCGGTGCAGATGAAGTGAGTGAACTTCGCACCAATCCTCGCATAGCGGTTACGCGCGTATTCTATTATCCTTGCGCGCGTACAATACGCAATACGCGTCACGCAGCCGAGGGCATTTTAAATATCGGACTATATTTCAATTACAAAAACTGTAGTCTGTTAGATTTACCGGTTTTAATTACAAACTGTAGATATGAAAAATCTGTTTAAGTTGGTCCTATAAAAAAGTATGTGCTACTGTTATAGTACCGTCATTCGAATAGGCCATATATGACAGCTGTCAAAATCATGTTACTGCTATGACATAAGGTCTATATTTCTTTGTTGACATGTTTCCTAGTATGGGTTTGACAGCTGTCAAATATGGCCTATTTGAATGACGATACTATAGTACCGTTTACTTCGGAAGAAATGGGGCAGAACATATTTCGTCATAAACGCAAAGAAAAACAGGTTTGTTATTATGCCGACCCGAATAAATTGAGAAAAGGGTTGAACTCCTTAGTAAAGGACATATTTGTTTAGTAAGTTGGTCCAAATGTAACAAAATCTATGTTATACTTGTACCATGCATGTCCAGCGGTGGATTTTTGTGGCTGTAGTAGTAATATACTTATTTTAAATAAGTTATTTGTCAGTGTCTATACTTGTTTTGTAATTTTTTTAGGGTTTCGTAGTCTACTACAGTGTTTTTCAAACTGTGGGTCGCGACCCCCAGGGGGGTCGCGGAGGCTTTCTAGGGGGGTCGCCGGCAAAATCCAAAAGTCAAGGCAGGTCGGGTAACACAATTTTAGTGACAAAAAATGGGCATGTTTGTTTTTTAAAATGTTGTGCTGTATATGCTCTTTACCTGTTTGTAGCGTGAAAAGTCGAGCTCGCTTCGCTCGCGATACGTGCACCTTTTTGCATGTTTGATACTCACGGCTAGTGTTAATGCTCCTCACTTGATTGTAACGTGAAAAGTCGAGCTCGCTTCGCTCGCGATACGTGTTTTTCACTAAAGTTTAAGCTTTTACGCTCGTTTTTAGCGTAAAAATTTTCGCTCGCTTCGCTCGCGTTACATGCGGGCTTCTTTTTGCCTGATAATTTCAGCCTACCTAGAAAAATATTCTAAAAATGCGGACTACGCTTGTAGTTTTCCTGTATCCGCCATTGAATAAATTATATTACTAATTTTATGTTTTTATGATGACCCAACAGGGGGGTCGCCATTGATTTTTTGCCTGGAAGGGGGTCGCGTATTCAAAAAGTTTGAAAAACACTGGTCTACTAGAAACCCTTAGATATCATTTCGTCAAGTCTGTCTGTTCTCTGTCTGTATGCCGCGCTCTCATAACTTCGTCAGTTTTGGAGCTATCGACATCAAATGTGGTGTGAAGATAGATCGTGTTGACCCAAATACACAAATGTTAAGAAAAAAATATTTTAATTGTTTTTTGGACCCCCTTCCCATACATGTGAAAGGGGTGCAAAACATTTTTTATTCTCCTGTAATCATGAGTAGGGTATCGTTGAATAGATCTTTTAAAACTAAGGGGAGGTTTCTTTAAAACAAAGTCACTGAAGTGTTTCTGTCTCGAGATATTTGCTTTTAAAGGGGGCATTTTTGAGCCATAATTTGTTCCAGCTGTAACTCCTAAAGTCTAAACGCTAAAAATTTGAAAAAAATATGGAATATAATACTCAATCTGAAGTTACCAAGAAAACTATAACGGATACTGTACCACTAAAGATTTTAGAAAAATAAACGATTTTTTATTTGCGGTTGGTAATCATACAGCTGCAAACAAACCAGCAACAAAATTAACTTTGTAACGCTGAATAACCTTATATTTAAACGTTGACTACGAAACCCTATTTGTGAGCGGGTCTGACACGCTCTTGGCCGGTTTTTTCGTTAGCGGTTTCAATATAAAGAATTATATTGAAACCGCTAACGGCCGCCATGCCAGTAGTCCTTTTTACGACCAGAGCTACGAATTCAACTAACCCTGAAAACTCGTTTGCTAAGGCAGAAAATCTTGTCGTTTGCACGAGAAAATTCGACGGAATAAGATTGAAGCCATATAGCGGAAAGGGAGGGTGTATTATACAGCCTAATAAGGTAATAACGCAAAATCGGGTCGGAAAAGCCTGGAAAAGTACCTGCGTGTGAAAATATCTTCGCAAAGGAAAATCTGTGTAACGAGAATCGCCACGCCACAAGGTACACACAAATCTCACACCTTTATCCCTTGCGAAGTAGGCAGAGCATACCGGCCGCAAAAATACGAAAAATAGAAATAGAATACCGAATACGGAGCTAATTTGAGGTAAGGAGAATTTATTTTCCGAATTAGGGCCAATATTTTATTAAAGTTAGGTAGAGAACATCAATTTCGTTGGATACGGATTCTAAAAATAAGCAACATCCAGGAAAATTTCCTACTGTGCTCAGAATAATATCCTAATTATTTATGGCTTTACCTACGTTACAAATATTGCTTTGTAAGCTAGAGGCAGGTACTTAAGCTTTTTATTACTTTTGCTGGAACTTCAGGGAAATACTGCTATGTCTAAGAAAAATGTTCGTAAGTAATTTAATTTCGCAGGTAGTATCTCGTAAGTAAAAATAAGAAATAAAAGAAAAGGCCGCCACACACCGGGCCCGTATGCGTGAAGTGCACGTAGTCACGACGTCATTACGCGCGTAGAAGATGACGTTGTATCGTATGGGATTGCATGAGAGGCCGCACACTGCCTGGTATATGCGTGTGCGTAATCACAGGTACCGTCCCACTGCTCTGCCACTGAGCTACCGACGCACCGATCGACTTTTGCTAAATAGTTCGTAGAATCTTGTGATATGAAGAGTAATGTGTCATGAAAACGATAACGTTTCAAAATTTTTGGAAACTGGCTACACTTTCTTCTGCTTATATTCTCTTCTTCTTTAGTGCGCCACAGACCGCCTCTGTATGCGTGACGTCCACGTCATCACGCGCGTAGCCATGACGTTGTATTGTACGGGACCGTATGAAACACCGCACACCGCGCTACGCACGTGATTACGCGCACCAATACGCAGGCAGTGTGTGGCTTTAGGCCTCTCATACAATCCCATACATTACAACCGGTACGCGCATCAGGCGTGACAACGCGCACGCATACGTCCTGCATACGGAGGCGGTGTGTGGCTTGCTTTAAAAAAGGGAGTGAGACTATTACCTAATAAACAGAACACATAATTCGTATAATTTACTTTCCATGTTTTTTAGTTATCAAAATACTAACGAAGCTTATCACAAAACCATAGGACGATTGCACCTAGCATTGATTATGATTTATGAATGAAAATCGTTATCGTTTTCTGCCTAAATGGATAGGGATTTATCAGTACAACAAAGATAACACTAAAATATTGGTTTCATGTTTCCATTTCCATACACGCCATAACAACAAAACATTCCCTATTAATCTCGGTTATCTTTATTTTGTCACCATAAAAATAATGTTACAAGTACTTATCCACCTCTTTACTACTTTAATAATGGACCAACTCTATTAAAAATAAGTACAAAGTACTTGTATATCCAAATATAGACATAGTATTTATAAGCACGTGAAAGAAAACACGTGAGGGAATTTAT